GAAGCGAACAAGTCTTGGATAGAACGCACAATCCTGTCAGCATCCTGCAAAGAAGACTGCCAATATTGAAAATCCTCACTACAACGAACAAGGTAGAAATAGAAATGAAGCAAAAAGAAAAACTACCTTGTCGACAATCGTAGAAGATGGCGTGCCCTCAGCTAAGCTTGCCACCAACGGCTCATCCATTTGTGAGGACTTCCCCTTGTCCGAGCGAGAAGATGTTGCCACAACGGGCGGACTCATAGGAGTATCTGCAAAGCTCAAGAGCAACAAATCAGAAACCAATAGCACGAGCAAAGGTAAGACATCAAAAAACTGAATTACTTTCTGCTTCGATGTTTGGGGGGTCGACGCCCTGGGAAGAAGGTGGCTCATCCATGGGTTGTGATGAAGACTCTGGGACTGAAGATGCATCTTTAAGCATGGTCCCCTGATCAACCGGTTTGGATGAAGTAGCCTCAGCAGAGGATGATGGAGCAGGAGTTGTCGATGCCAAAGCCTTTGAAGGAGAGGCTGAGCTTTTCTGAAAAGTCCAAAAGATCATCAATACAAAGAAAAGTTTCAAATGTGGAAAAGCATACTCGTAAATAGACCAATTTAATTACCTTCCTCCTGACGATAAGAGGGGCATCATCATCATCATCATCATCATCATCATCATCATCATCAACATCATCCTCCAGAGTGGGAGATGCTGAGGTCGGCCGTTTGCGACTTGGAGCACTCTTGGCCGTAGTAGGCCTGGCAGGGAAAGAAGAAGATGGACGAGCAGATTGTTTAGTGCGACGAGAAGGAGAGGGGCTCCGAATAGACAAAGGAGTGACCAAAACAGGAGGAGGAGAAGAAATACTCGGTTGGTCTAATGAATGAAAGGCACGATTGGCCTCAGTCACAAATAATCTGCACTTCACCGATGGCCAGAGTTGTTCAAAAAGAGGGTGAGTAGCAGGACAAGAATTAAAAGGGGCTAATGAAAAGTGGCTCCATAAATGGAGATTGCGAGCGTTTATAGCCTCTGCTTCCGCCTTATTAATGGTATGAAAACGGTCAATTAAGTTCTTCGAATAGCAAAGAGGAACAGGCCAAGTTTGGCCAAAACCAAGCTGACGAACAAAAAATTGGGGAGCATAAATTTCTACCCCCGCTTTGGCATTGGTCCCAGTTAAGATATCATGGAAAAGCTCCCTCCCGGTTAAAAATTGGATCCAAATGAGCAGAGAGGTGCTCGCGCTATCTATAGTGGAAGTGGGATGTACATAGTTTGGAGTCAAGAAAGGAGGGAAAGGAAAAAAGGAAGAGATTGAATTTAAAGAATAAAAGAAACAAAAAATGTCCCTTCTGGACATATTTACAGGAGTTAGGGGCTCCATAGCTAGCCCGTAACAGCTAGCAGAAGGATAAGAAATGGATGGAGCACCAAGCGATGGAAAATAGGATCTCAACCACAGTTGAGTAAACCAAAGAGGTCCACTGCCAGTGGGAGATGCACCATTCTTCAATTGAGCTTGAAGAGAGGCCATGCCTCCATAAAGGGCAGCCAAAAACAAAGAACATAAATTCAAAAGCCTGCCACGCGCCAATTCGTGCGCTATGGGTAAATAACTCAGAGAAGGCTTTATACTTGGCACGCACAAAACATATTTACAAAGCCAAACTAAAAGGAAGGCCACTCGCTTAGTATGGGTAGGCTCAGCACTCGAATGATTGTGGAGGGTCTGCAGACTTGAATAAGAGTCGGTATAACTTTTACCAAACTTTGGGGCGCCACCAGAAACTAAGATACCTGGGAAAATGGTATCGCCCAAAGGTGGTAGATTCACCAGGGCCCCAACATCCCTTAACGTAATAGACATGGGGCCAAGAGGAAAAATAAAGGTGTTATACTCAGGGGACCAAAAACTCAAAGCAATCGAAAAGAGCGCTGAATCAAAAGCAGGGGGGCGAATAGAGACTTCTAGCAAGTCAGAAATCCTAGCGCTATCAAAAAGTGCCTTGGTAGGACCATGACCCACAAGGCGAGTATGCCACCTACGAAAAGCTACATCAGATTTAGGCCAAGTGCGAATACCTCTTTCGCGAAATGGCCCCAGCGGCAGAGAGTTTAGAAAAAGAGGGCCATGAGTGCAAGGAAACAGCTGACCCACCGCCGCCTGTTCAACTGCCTCCGCATTGTTGAAGAAAGGACCCAAGTAAAACTCATTACGTCCAACGTCGGCGGGCGCGAGAAAACTTGGGGTTATGTATGGGCGACTCAGAAGTTTCTGAAAGTCATCAAAACTAAAGGAGTCACTAACTTGAGATTGTGAAGCAGCCATTGGAGGAGGAACGAAGCTTTTCAGGGTTACGTAACAAGGAAGCAAAAGATGAACAGTGAATCGTGAAAGAGATGCAAAAAATATGAGGCTTGGTTTGGTAGCAGTGAAATGACGTGTTTGGGGTTTATAAGGGTTTGCAAAACGACGCACCTTTTCAAGTTATAGAAGGAAACAATAATTGAAATTCTTGGAAATTTCGAACGTTGCTGGAAACACAAAGTGAATATGGCAAAATTCAATAATTATTATTAATTCTGCCATATTGGCGGATAATTGTTGACACATAAAAATTCAGCCCAAATCGAACGGCCCAAAGAGTAAAGCCCAATTGGAGGACCCCCAAATCAGATAGCCCAAAGAACGAAGTCCAATCGAACAAATCAAGGTGAAGGCCCAAATAAGGGGGCCCAAGAATGCTATAACGCCATCGTCCAAGTTTGCAAGTCGCCCAAAATCTGAACGAATAGAGTGTCATACGGTCGCCCAGAGCTGTTATTCTATTCTCCCCCAAACCTTCAAGTCGCCTAAGGTATCAACAAACATAACGCGTCGTGGTTATCAAAAAATGCAGTTATCAAGGCAGTTGTTAAAGCAGCCCTATCACGTTCCACGACTCAAGGAATTCAATCGAAAGCGGTTGAACGATGAAAGGTAATGGCAACAGTTAAAAGGCAGTTTTCATAATAAAATGGTCACTACGAAGAAAGTGGGTAGTTATAGGACGATCAAGCAGTTTTTAGAGCAGTTAATCACAAAGAGATCGTCTATGAAGTATAAAAGGGAGAAAGAACATAGAGGCAAAGAACCGAATCCAAAACTCTCGAACAGAGAACATGTAATTTTCATTTCCTTAGTTTTTTAGACTTACATAATTTTCTTTCAGTAACTCGTGTGCTTGCGCCCCTTGGAGGCACGTTGTTTTCCATTTCCAATTGTAAAGTTCATCGCCAATAAAAGAACACCCCTTTTTGGGACTTTATCTCAAGAGGTTTCGTCCCTTACACAATCGTCTGATCCTTTTTAATTGTTAGCGACTTAACCCGCGCGAAACACTACCATTCTATTGTGAGAGTGTGTAAAACTTTTAGTACAAATGTGTTTGTACATGTAGCACCATCCATTAACATTTATCTTAGATGATGTTTTTAGCAAAACAGTGTAATGACTAGTAGCTATGATATTCATATTTCAATAACTGTTAAGGTATATTGTTTATTTTTTATTATGGCTAGACGATCCTTGATCTTAGTAATCTAAACATATATGAGATTATGTCTTTTTTCCCACCTTCTCTCATGGAGAGATATTGCCTAAAGGCAGCCTCAGCTTGGCAGGATGGGAATGGAGGTTTTTTTTTGGAATAGACATCCCAGAAGTTGGTGCTTACTTGAAAAGCACGATAACTCTATAGCTTGGTGCTGGCCTACAAGACTTTCTGATTCCCGGGCAAGGAGGCGCCAAGGTTTCTTTTGTCGGCTGATTCCCCTTTCGTCAATGGACAGCTTTCCATTGAGAAGAGGATCTTGTTTGGAGCCGATTTTTTTAGGTCAAAAGATGAATTTTTTTTACCGTTATCTTTCAAGGCGGGTTCCAGCTGTGAGAAACAAAGTCAACAAAAACGGTTGAAACAGATGACCAACGGTACAAGAATTTACACTTAAAATTGGCTCCAAATAGGGGGGCATATTACGTTGGAAAAAAAAATTTTGAAGTTTTAATTGTTCTTATTGATTTTGAGCAATAATTTTCATCAATGTTTCAGTTTCTTAGTGTAATCAATTAATTTAAGCATGTAGATTAGTGATAAACTTGAGGACTTGACATTGATTAACAAGCCAAGAGATAATCTTTACAAAGATACTCCCCAACACAAAGATGCAAGTAACTCCAAATTTTTCAACCACATTTCGCCATGTTTGGTGTAGCCAAAAATTAAATTTTTAGTACATTTGAATAAAAGTTGAAGAAATGTATATTTGAAAGTTGATATAGATATAGGTCCCATAAAATGTGTAACTGAAAATAAGTTTGAAGAAAAATTAATTAAAAAAAAATAAGGGGCCAAACATATACTAATACATTGAATTGAACATCACTTATAATAAAATAAAAGAACAAATTTATAAGTTATCATGTCCAAATTTGTTCGATCAAGTTGCAAACCCTAAAATTTGCATCGATCTTAAGAGTGATGAGTAGATTTTTCAAAATAGGCGGCCGGCCCATTTCGATGCCTGATCTGGATTTGAACGTACAAGTAACATTTTCAAGAGGACCTGATATGGTCCGGTGTGTCCGCCTAGTTTTGCACCTTTACTTGCTGGTATTCAAAGCAAGCCAGAAAACAGGGACTTTTGGCATAATCTTTACACGGTGGATGCCTAAAGAAGTTAAAACAAAATTATTTGTGTCATTACTTTGTGGGTACAAAAGGTGCCTAAGATTGTGACCTGAGTTTCCCCAAAGGGCAAGTTGTGGTGACTCAGATATGGATGTCTTCAAAATCTAACCTTATCCTCTTTCCAAGAAGAATGACATGGCTAAGAAATTTAAACCACATGAAAATGACAATGACAATTCTAAGGATAAACAACCATGTGCAAAACAGTGTAAAAACTAATAACAACCGTCCAATCCTCCATTAATAGCTTTATAATATTCACCAGAAACTTATTTATTTAATTAAACAGGTCAAGTCAGTACACTTGTGTGTGTGTATATATATACTTCTTCGAGTGATGCCTGGTTAAGTTCAAAGTCTCTCATCTTATGATAAAATAAATATCTTTTTCCACTGCCCCTTTTCGTGTTTTTCTGCTCGGTTGAGTATTGCCATAGTTAGATTGTTGTTGTTCTTGTTTGATCTTTGCACTTGATGGGTGAATCAAAGCAAATTTATGAAGCTGTTGGCTTGAAGAAAAGTGATAACAATGGGTTGCCACACATCAAGTGGGCGATCTTGAAAGGTGGAAGTGAAAGTTCTGAATCCGAATCCATGGAATCCGATTCATTAGACTGGGCTGAAGTTGCATCGTCATCATCATCTTCATCGCCTTCACACGGGCCTCTCTATGAATTATCTGACCTCATGACCTATCTTCCTATCAAGTAAGTTAGATATATATAAACTCCCCGTAGTTTGAGTTTTCTACTTGCTTCTCCTCATAACATCGACAAAATAGATAACCGTCAAAAGATGCCTCCATTTCTCCCCATGTAAGCTTTTCGATGCTCTAGTTCAGAGTAACAAGAAAGTCAACAATATAAAAGAATGCTATTTAGCACCACTCTATGAGCCATAATGTGACATATGTTAGTTCTAATTAAAAGGAGAATTAATTAATTAAAATGGCAGTTCCTTTTTCATAGACTGCTCATGGCATAGAAAGCAACTCTAGTTAATACTTGGTTATCAACTATCTACCCTTTTTGGCCATAAAAATGATCAATCGACCCTAGAAATGGACCTAGTTAAGATTAATACATGCTTCTGAACTTAGCCATTTAATGGATACTTTCTTATGAGCAAAATTTGTGTGTGCTTGCGCTCGTAGGAATATATATTTATATATGTTGTGCACATGTGCAGGAGAGGTCTATCGAAGTATTACCAAGGGAAGTCGCAGAGTTTTGCATCTTTGGCAAGTGTGGAGAATCTTGAAGACCTTGCAAAGGAAGGGATTTCTTATGGTAAAAAGTTGAAATCATGTAAAACCTATGTAGGGAATCTGAGTGGTCGAAAATATGGTCCCAAGGCAAACATAGCAAAGAAAGAGCTCTTCAAGAGGCAATTTAATTAGTTAATAATTACACAACTCCTTTTCAGCTCTAAATATAAATTTATAATGTTCTAACCACTTGGGGCTGCCTAGAAGTTTATTGAAACGAAC